CTCGTGATGCCATTCTGCTTATGGTTCGAGGTCATGGCTATCTGGTAACTTATGTATGATGCTGTTTGCGTTCTGGAGTTCGCTATTGCTCATCTACCTTGCACAAACAAAGACACACAAAAAAAAGAAAAATTAAAAAAAAATTGAAGAACTTAATGATAGATGCCTTTAAAGCTTGAACCCCTGTAAACCCGTGCAAAATTGCAAACCCCATTCATAACCCCCAAAAGTTCACAATCGTGCCAACACTCGTGGTGCAGAAAGGATTCAAATAATGCACAGCCCTCCTCCTCACTGCCCACACCAGACCAGTTTGGGGTTTGGGAGTTGTCCTCACCGATTGACGACTTTATACTATCGCTTGACAGGAGGTAGAAGTACTTGCAAGCCCAGAGAACACACATGAATGCGATGAGCACACAGGACAGGACCTGCTTAAAATGGACGTGAAGAAACGCAGCCATCCTGCCTCCATATTTCAGCAAGCAATTCAGCATTCGCTCATCCCACTGATCGCCACGCAGATTCATTGTATCAACCACAAAAGACAACCAGAAGCAAACAAACAAAAAAAAACAACAATCAAATCTTGTCAGGGCTAAAAGCTGCAACAATCACCCAACAAATCGACAAACCAATGAATCACACACTTTGTGAACATGGGCATTGCCCAATCGTATCTGGTCCAAAAACAGTGCGCATGTGTGTCCAATGTTGCGTAGTGGAGCGATGCCGTATGTTTCCCTGGCAATGATTCCCCACTGGGCGAAGGAGGACGCGGTTCTTGCTTGTTCTGTTCTCATAAGAAAGTTAAATTAAATGATTTCAGGAACTTATGGGCCCGTGGCTGGTGCCCAATCCCAGCTGGGACCGGTTAGGGGACTTGCAGACTGTAGAGGCTTCAGCTTCCTGACATGGGGTGAAACTCCGACGAAAAAATGTGTCACAGCCCCTTTGTGTCTCGTCTGTCTACTTTCTGCCTACATTGACAGGGAAGTTCTCTGTGACCCCCGTTCCTCGTCTTTTCCTCGCTTTCCGTGAGAGGAGGACGAGAAACGGGGGACCGTGACAGACTGTTTAGCCTGAGTTTCTCTGTGACCCCCGTTCCTCGTCTTTTCCTCACTTTCCGTGAGAGGAGGACGAGAAACGGGGGACCGTGACAGACTGTTTAGCCTGAGTTTCACCGACTGATCAGTAGGTCGGACCATATGCCGTCGGCTGAGTCACATAACCAATGTCACTGCAGACTGCGTAAGTGATAATACCCCTCAATCTCAGCTACAGTTGGGCACCAAACACTGCCACCCCCCAAACTCAACTGACACCCTGAGGTGGGCACCAAACGCTGTCCTCGAGGGTACCCTGTGACGATAACCAAGGCACTCGCCCACACAACACGAAAGACTCTGCAGACCGTACGCAGGTTCACACCTCCCTTGCAAGCCAGCAAATCCCCCCCACGAAATAAAGAAAGGTCTTGCCTAGGTTGAGCAGCTTGAGCTGCCACAGCCAGAAAATACAACTCCGCACCCTAACTCTGGCACTAGCTTCTTCACCCGAAGACAACGTACGCCGTACGGTCATTATTGTTGCTGTATTTAGACTGAAATATGCCCCAAATATAGCTATAATGACTGTAGGTTCATTATTGCTGTATTTAGACTGAAGCATGCCCCAAATACAGCTATAATGACCATACATCGTATTCGGGTGAAGAAGGTAGAGGCGCAGCATGGTAGACATTTAGTCACAGAGGACTCTGCCCGGTCCCGTACACAGAACCCTTTTCCTTCTTTTTTTTTTTGGGGGGGGGGAGGGGGGACCATTTCTCGATTTATTTGTGTCATCCTTAAACCAGGGACCATGCCAATCTTCTCTCTCTGCATCGTTCCAATTTTAACGGATGTCCCATAAAGGACGATAGAATCCCTTTTCCCTACGTTAACAAATCTCTTTTTATTTTTCCCAAAATTCAGAAATTGTAAATTATCATTTAATTATTACCAATGGCTACTCACCCTTTCTACCACTGCATCTAACCAGACACTTTGATTTCGGTGAAGTGAGAGCACGAGAGCAAATCAGGTGGAAGCAAAAGCACGAGAATCAGAACACAAAAGACAAGAATTCATCGAGAGCGGAGCGACGCACTCTTTCCTCCTCCAGAGGTGGGATGGCATCTGCAATTGGGTGTGAGGCTTAATTGATGGATGACCGGCTTGCTTTTCCGCTTCGAATTTGGGTTTGCTATTGTTTCTGAAATTATGTAAACTGTCTTACATTTCAACTTCCAGCAAATGCAAATCCCGCAGAATCACATAGGGCTTTATCCAGATCTACTCACCGACAGAGATGCCGAGGGAGGTGGCGGCACATCCACTGCTAATTGCCGCATAGTAGAGACTATTTGCGCTTTGCGACGTTTCACACTGGTGGGACTTTCCACTGCTGATTTTGGCTCCTTGCTCTTCGACACCATCATGGCTTTGGTTTTCCTTTCTATCACCGGAGCGTCAAGGACTCGAGGGTAGTCCGCTGCTGCTCTCAGACGTGATGGTGTCCCTCCCTTAGCGATCTGCATACAGACATCAGACGAGCAGCAAGATCCACATCGACCAATCAATCGATCGATCACTCAACCACTCTCTGAAGCAATCAATCAAACAATCAGTCGATCGATCGATCAATCAATCAATCAATCAATCAATCAATCAATCAATCATTAAAGCAACCAATCAAGCAATCAGTCAACCGATCAATTAACCACTCATTGAAGCAATCAATCCAGACTTAAACACAACCTACCCCCTCCCCCCTCCCTTCCTCTGCCAACCTATCTTACCCAGGAGCGCCTTCTTCATCCTGCCTTCAAAAAATAAACTCCCATACGTATGTGAAGCAGCGGGCTGGAAAGCAACCAAACTTGAGTGTGACTATGGCAAGTCCCCACCACTGTGAGGGATGGGATGCACTCACACTACGAGTTTTTCTACACAGCTCTGGACGTGATTGCAGTCAGATTCGTGCAGGTCTGGCCTTAATTGCGGTCAGATGGATTTTGCAAAGTGCTAGAGTGAGTATGCCCTGAGACAGAGACACATTCACTTTTTTTTTTTTTTTTTTTTTTTTTTTTAACCACTAGTACCTTTGCCGTTTGGGAAAATAGCGGGCCCCGGGTGGGCCTCCGACCTTTTCGGATGGCTGAAGCGAACCGCCCGCCGCCGATCAGATTTATCAATGGCAGTCGTCATCGGGCCCGGCCTCCGAATTTTCAGGAGTTTGGGAAAACAGCCACTTTTCCCTAATTTCCCAACACTGGCAGAGGTACTAGTGGTTCAAGTGGGCGAATCGGACCTTTGCCTTCTCTACTTTTTTTTTTTTAACCGGCCTATTTTCGTCGTTCGATCTTGATTTGGCATCCACAGCCTGACCGATAAACAGTGAGCGGTGAGCTGAGGAAAGACTGGTTGAAATGTCAAAACCGCCTCATAAGGAAGTGTGACCCGACTGAAAAAAAAAAAAAAAAAACAGTGGGTGGAATGTTAAGAGAAAAACGTTTTTTTCTTTTTTTCTTTTTTTCTTTTTTTTTGTCCTGACTGATACTGGCACACAAAGGGCCTCGCTCCACTGCGCAACGTTCTAAATGTATCCGGACCACGTAATGGCCTTGGTATATTCAAAATGTTGGATCAGACCGCATGTATCTGGTCCACAAAACAGTCAAGATACGTGTACAATATTGAGTAGTCTTGGCTTTACAAGACCTTAGCTACGGCTCGAATAAGCCCATGAACCAGCTGGTTATTAGTTCCAGGTTTGTGCGCTTCAGCCGCGAACCAAGTAATCAGTGGTCATTGATTGTGGGCTGGCCGATGACGAACTCGAACTACCTACCAAGCCTGGTACCTCCCTTGATGTATCCGGTCACAATCACAACCAGCACAACTCGCGCAAGTCACGGCCGTAGACGCAGTGGTCTGACAAGGATGTGGTACAGGCCTGCCTGGGCCCAATTAAATTCAAATGCGTTCAGAGGCCCGTAGACGACAACAAAAGGGCCCCAAGTACTGGTGATTTACGACAGAAATTGAGCCATGAAAGTCCTAGCGTGAGTACGCCCTAAGACATTTTACATCATTTCAGAAGACAGAAATAGCAAACCCAAATTCCAAGCGGAAAAGCAAGCCGGTCATCCATCAATTGAACCTCACACCCAATTGCAAATGCCGTCCCACTCAACAACAAGTGCTCATTTGTTTCCTGCAATCGTTTCTGTAGGCATCATGGCTCTTGGCAATGCACGGGTTGCTCTTGGCAAGCACTTGCAACATATCAACCGCTTCATCTTCCTCTTCTTCTTCTCTTCTTCTTCTTCCTCCTCTTCTTCCTCTTATTGTTGAGGCAATACTCCCCCTTCCCTCGTCTTCACCAACCGTTCCCTACTGCTACTCTCTCTCTCTCTCTCTCTCTCTCTCTCTCCAAAAAATCCAAAATTCCAAAATTCCATAAATCCATAATTCCACAACTCCAAATGCATCAACAAGCAAGACAGAACTACAAACAGAGAAAAGTATGTAAGCGCATATTCATACAAAATTCATCCGAGACAAAAGACATTGGATATACGCAATAAAGATATCCGTGAACAAATGAATACGGATGGCGGGAGCAAACATCGTAACACAATACTGACGATTTTTGAAGCCGGGTACGGAGGAGAAGTGTAATGAGGTTATATGTGCGCAGTAACAAGGACTTCCCCGACGACATCGACAACTGATATCGAGTGCAACGACGGAGATGCCATGATGAAGGGGAGATCTGCAAGGGAGAGTGGCTGAGGAGAGGATGTATTTGGACCAGCAGGGTATAAATATGATGATAATGGCTGTGAAGATTACCTGAGCAGTGAGGTAGAACTTCAAGGCTAATCACGACTGGTTTAGTCGCATGCCATGGACAGGACGTGTTTGCTGTGATAGTAAAACCTCGCACGTGTTGTCCACATATTGCAAGTGTCTCTCTCTCTCTCTCTCTCTCTCTCTCAGGGAAGAGCCTGGAGGAGAGAGTACAAGTACAACAAACCAAATTCGACCCAAGCAGAGGCAGCTCTCAACAGGGCGGGGAAGGGGGGGGGGGGGAAGGCCCACAGGGCAGAGTCACAAACGCTAGGGGAGATTTTTGAAGGATGGTTGGACCGTAGTCCCCCCAAGGAGAAATTGCAAGACGGCAAACCTGGCGAACGGATCTGCAAGAAACTCAAGAGTCACAAACGCCGAGAGCGCATTTCTATGTGCTTGCCTGAATGAAATTGATTCAATTAACTTATTAGATTCATTGACTTCAGTCGGTGAATAACTGTCTTCATGCCAGCTGTTTTTTTTTTTTTTTTTTTTTTTTTGGGAAAGATGCGAGCTTTGGCTGGATTTAGGCTCATTGCCAGAGTTCAGATGCAAGAGGCAAAGAATACCAGGAACTGAACCCCTGTTTTTCAAATTCACAATCTGACAATTTGGCCTACTTAAGTTCATTCTCACAATTTGCCCTATTTAAGTTTTTTTTTTTTTTTTTTCCGGCTGAAATGAGGTCTGTCTGTCGAGTCCTTTAAAATGCCGTGTTTACGCTGTCGCCAACAGCAGCAAGAGCTCAGTCAGTCAGTCAGTCAGGATTGAGAGAGGAAGGTAGGTGACAGAGTTATAACCTTGGGAGAAGGAGCCTCTTGCACTTGTTGATCCCATGAAAGCACTGGAGCCGACCCCTTCTTCTTGCCCTCGGGGAGAATTCTTGATATTAATTCCCCCTCCTGCTCCAGAGACGTAGATTGCTTCCGTCGCCGCTCCACCCTCTTTGGACCCCCATTTGGCTGAGACGGGGGCATACAGAGACCTTCTGGGTGCACTTTCAGGCCTACCATCTTCTTATACACTAGTCCCTAAGTGCTACACAGCTCCACACTGTACTAGACGAGAATCACTAAATGACTCTAAATACACTAATTAATTAATTAACTGAGAAAACCAATTCACCGACAAACTACCTAAATGCCGAATCAAAACAAAAAAAACAAAAAAAAACAAAAAATCTGCAACTTGATACCCGCTGAGGAGAATTAGATCGGTGTGTGACTAGTCCATCCTTTCTACTGCTCTATTAATCAACGGCAACTTGAAAAACTCTTAAGTCCACCTCCAGGAAGTGGTCCCCACACAGCAGAGCTAGTGGTCCCCACACAGCAGAGTTAGTGGTCCCCACACAGCAGAGCTAGTGGTCCCCACACAGCGGAGCTAGATGGAGCAAGAAGTCAAGCGTTGGACATCGCAAAATCTACAAGCGGTCTGCGTCTTCTGGACCAATGACATATCGACACGTGTCCTCAACTGACTCGTGCCCTGAATTGAGGATGACGATGATGATGATGAACAAGTGTGTTGCTGGAAATCTTCAGAGTAGTAGTATGGTGATGATGCATAGCTGTGTGGTCAAAGCGTAGGTGCTCTCCTTTCTCTAAACAGCAGCCCCATACTAATAACCAAAAAAAAAAGCACAGAATTTCCAGATCAGGAAATTCTTCAGGCGGTGGATTTCCTACACAGGAAGTCCTTGAGCCCTTCACATTCCTGAAGAGGAAATCTTTCCTTCCCCTAGGACGAAGGAAACTAAGCTCTCTACCCAGTTCCTCGATTACTCCATGCCACTGGTTGACACCGACAGAATTACTATTTTTCCATTCTCATTTTTTTGTCAAAACAACAAGAACAAAGATAAGACTGTACCCTTCCAAGAATGCTATCAACATTCATTCACCACTCTCTCTCTCTCTCTCTCTCTCTCTCTCTCTCTCTCTCTCTCTCTCTCTCTCTCTCTCTCTCTCTCTCTCTCTCCTACACAGCTAAAGCCGCCTTTTGCCTACACCCCTGCTTCACCAGCTCTTCTGTTCCTCGGCGAAGCTGCTGCTACTGCTGAGGCCGTTGCTACTGCTGCTGATTTTGGCATACCAACCCCTACCTCTGCTGCTGATTTTTGCATACCAACCCCTACCTCTGCGGCTGATTTTGGCATACCAACCCCTACCTACCCCCGCCCCTTCTCCATAGGAGGCACACTATCACAAGTTGAAAACCGACCCTATCTACATCCTCCCTGCCACCGACGGACCTAGCTCAGATGGTACGCCCACGAACTGTTGAAATATGAATCAGACCCCAGTTCGAATCCAGATGCAATCAGATGGACAGAATATTATTAATTTTCTGAATGACCCGGGGCCGGTCAGCTCAATGATGATACCTCAAGGCCATCACCCTTTAGAGGAAGGGGGGGGGAGAGGAAACTGCCTGCCACCGTTGATGATGCTTTAGATGGGGTCACAACAACAGGGCAGGCGAAAGAACCCTCTGCTGCACCTGTGCAAAATACCTAGCACCAATCAACGAGAGAGAAACAAGCACCAAACAGCACAAAAACAAAGAGATTCTCTCAAAAAAAAGGCAAATGGATTGGGGAAAAAAAAGTGATTCATGTGTTGTTGTTGTTTTTTTTTGTGGGGGGGGGGGGGGGGGGGGGGG